ACTTGAATCCGGGTTTGAAACTGGTTTTCAATCATGGCATAGAACTCTTTAAACACTCTTGCAACCTCAGATTTTTCTCTCAAAAGATATACCTAACACACTCTAGTATGGTCATCAATGAAAGTGATGAACCACCTAGTTCCAGTCATATTAGTAACCCGAGAAGGCCCCCACACATCACTATGAATCAAATAAAATGGTTTGAATGCTTGATATAAATGAGAAGGATAAGAAACACGATGATGCTTTGATAATTGACGAGATTCACATTGAAATAACAAAGGATTTAAATTTTTGAACAGGGATGGAAACAAATGTTTTAAGTGAGAGAAACTGGGATGGCCTAACCTATAGTGCCATAACATTATTTGACTTTTAATAGAAATAAAAATATCACTACTACCTGCAGCTTGAGCTTGTCCACTCTTGAAGATTTCATTATCAAAATAATAGAGTCCTTCAACCATCTTAGCACTGCCAATCACCATCCTTGAATATAGGTCCTAAAATTCACAGTGAGAATCAAGAAATTTGACAACACAGTTAGAATCTTTGGTGAGTTTACCAATTGATAAAAGATTGCATGAAAGGTTAGGCACATAGAGGACAGATTTTAAAACGAGGTTTTCTGAGACAACTATACAACCTTTTCCTGCAACCGGAGACAAACTACCATCAGCAATACAAATTTTAAGTGACCAGAATTTGGAAAATATGTACTAAACAAATGTGATAAACTAGTCAAGTGATCAGATGCACCAGAATCAATGATCCAAGGTGCCGGATTTAAAGAACTAGTGAGAGCACTTAAAGAGCTACCTTTTTGGGCAAGAGAACCTGAGGAGACACTTGAAACCTGAGTTTGGTTCAGCAGTTTGGAGAGATGATCAAGCTGCTCCTTACTAAATGGAGATGTCTCGGTTTCAGTAGTAGCCTGCATTCCACTCCCATTCTCGTCTCCAAATCTGCTTACCTTCCAATTTGCTGGTTTTCCATGTAGTTTCCAGCATGTTTCTCTCGTTTGCCTTGGTTTGTTACAGAAATCACACCAGATCTTGGTTTTCTATGCAATCTTCCGCTGTGGGTGATTTGTTGGTTTTGGATTAACTACAGCTGTTGCCATTTCAGTGGCTGTTACATTGAGTGCAGAGTTCTCACTATGAGTGCTAGAAGATTTCTTTCCCATCATCACCAACCTGCGGCTTTCTTCCCTCCTAACTTCCAAGAAGACTTCTCTAGTGGTAGACAGTGGCTCTTTGCCTAGAATACGTCCTCTCACTTCGTCTAACGCAGCATTGAGTCCAGCCAAAAATTCAAAAACACGATCCTTCTCAACTGTTTTCTTGAACTGGGCACTATCACCTGCACACTTCCATTCAAAATCATAAAAAAGGTCAAGTTCTTGCCACAAACCTTGTAATATGTTGTAATACTTTGTAACAGTCTGATCTCCTAGTCTTGTTTCTTGGATTCTTGTTTTAATTTCATAGACTTGTGCGGAATTGCCCAAATCTGAGTATGTCTCACTTACTGCGTCCCATAATTCTTTGGCAGTGGAGAGATACATAAATGTCTGGCCTATCTCCGATTCCATGGAGTTCACTAGCCATGACATAATCATGGAATTTTCTGCATCCCAAACGGCATATGCTGGATCATCTTCCTTTGGGCCTGCTTTGCACTAGTTAAATAACCAATCTTCCCCCGCCCTCGGACAAACAACTTTACGTATTGAGACCACCGTAGAAAATTCTGTCCATTCAGCCGATGAGTGGTAATTTGGAGGATTGGGTTGTCACCTGAACCGGATGAAGTGATCTGGGATTTCCGAGCATTTGAAGAATCGACCAAAACTTCCTCAGTGGAGATTCCAGACATCGCGGATTTAACCAAAGAAATCGTCCAGAAACGACGAAGAGAAATAGAAGAATAAGTCTTTTATAATTCTATAAACGACCAGAATTAACGATGAATATTTGCTAATTTTATCGGATAATGAGCAGAACAATGGAGTAATTTACCGTCCTAGTGAGGGCGGCTTTGATACCATGAACACAAAGGGGAAAAAGAATAAATTATGATATTTTCTTTTCATATATCATATGTTAGTTTACAGGCCTATATATATAGAAGTGTATTACAAATTCTATCTAAGGAAAAGATATATATAGATTATAATTTAAAAAAAGTCTACTATCTAACTATGGATAATTCCTAAAAATCCTCCCTAACTAATTTTCTAACAATTCAGCCTAGATCTTTCCACACGTGTTCAGTAAATACAAGCCATTATCCTCATGTCCACTTCCAATGGTCTTCCCTGTGTCCAAGTCCTAAAACACACAGTGAGATGGAAAAAAGGTTACACTACAATTCAAGCGTTTTGTAATGTAACTGACAAAAAGAGGAGGTTATTGATAAACTTTGGGACAATGAAGAACAGAGGATAAGGTAAGATTAGGAGAGGTAGAAACAGTGCCCTTCCCTGCAATGGAGGTGAAGGTGCCATCAGCCACTCTAACCTTATCCTTACCAGAACATAAACTGTATGAAGAAAAATCAGATGTCATACTAGTCATGTGAACAGTGGCTCCTGAATCAATCATCTAGGGTGGCCCACCATATAATGTGGAAACCTGATGTGCCGATTGAGAGGTACCTGTCTGAGAGAAGTTAGAGGTGGAAATGGAGGCATGTTGTGCTAATAGATGTCGGAGAGCATCAAGTTCAGCCCTAGATAAAGAACTCGGTGGCCCTGAAGAGGCATGACCAGTAGAAGCAGTCTCACGCTGTATGTGTCGTAGATTACCCCCTAAATGGACCAGGCCTTGGCCTACCATTCGATGAGCACAGGAGTTGGAGTAGGGCGATCGTGTAGATTCCAGCATGTTTCCCTAGTGTGGCGCGTACGCCCACAACGATCACACCTCAATTTTCACTTATCATCCTGCTTCCCTCCTTTTGGAGGATTGGGTTTGTTCCATTGTTGTGTGGTAACAGTAGACCTCTTAGACAATGGTACTTCTGGCTTAGGCCTAGTGTATGCCGGTGCAGACATAGCCTTCATTCTACTCTCCTCAGCCTGGATATACGAAAACACATCTCTAATAGAAGTAGGGGCTGGATACCTGCCTAACACTTGTATCTAGCATGCTCGCATCTTGGATGCAAACCACCCAAGAACTCATAGATTTGTTTACTTTCTACCATAGCATGAAATGCTTTAACATCAGCTGCACACACAGGTATGTAGTATTGGTAGTGATCTAACACTTCCTATTTACCACGTAGAGTGTGGTAATATGTAGCAAGAGTTTGGTTTTCCTTCTTGAATCTTGAAATATGTTGTTGGAGTTCATACAGTTTTGCAAAATTACCAGCCGAGGAACACGTCTCTTCCACAGCCGTCCATAGCTCTTTAGCTGTTTTCACAAACATAAACCCTTTGCTGATCTGTGGCTGCATTGACTACAACAACCACGTTATGACTAGTGCATTATTTGCAGTCCACTCTTTGAATTCTGGATCATTCTTGGAGGGATACGTGACAGTCCCTTCGATATGGTCGATCATCCTACGACCAGTGATATGCATATGAGTAGATTGAGCCCACTCCATATAGTTCGTCTCATCCAGCCTAAAAGTGGTAATACAAAGGCTTGGATGGTGATCACTACTACCTCCCAATACTAGAGTCAGACTAGGAGAAGACCCAGCTTCTTTTGAAGTCACCTCTGAGCCAAACATTTTATCAAACAATTTCTGGGTATGCAATCCTCAGAAACAAAAGTAGCAACAAAATACGTAGAGTACCACCTCTCTAACACACAAACTTCAACTAGAAAGATTTCCGTCTTCTGAGATGCATAAAAAAGTGACCACACAGTCACCATACAAACCCTAGAAAGCAACAAAGTAGACTATACCAGGATCCGTGGTACGTGTGGATGTGATTAACACTACTTTCTTGCAAACAAATCCCATCTTGGAATCATTTCAAAACCCTTCACACCCACTAGGGTTTACACAAACTTGCCCTAGGGTTTCAACTACATACCTAGAGCTTTACAAATCATGCTCTGATACCATGTTGACTTTAAGATATAATCAAATCAAGAGTAAAGTATAAGAAGAAGAAGAAAAAGAGGAGGATGATGAGAGAAAAAGAATGAAAGAATACTTTCATCCTTCCATCACATTCTATTTATACTAACAAGTTTCAGAAATTACACATAAGCTCCAACATTATATAAGTAATAACAAATAAGCCCCTGACAACAAATGGTTCCCCTGTCCGAAACCCACCCGGTTGCCGTTCCTATCTGTGGGGTGATCCTAACTTGAAATTTGCATATGACAGTAAGTTATGTAGTCGAGTTTCCCTGCTAAGCAGAAATGCAGGAACAAGTTGAGCTCCTTTTGGAAATCTCAACACTAACTTTTTAAAAATATGGCTTATCCCTTATCCGATTGTGGTTTATCTCTTTCTCTTGGTGCTTGCTTTACCTGATTCGTGGGCAATGAAGTTTGGAGCTGTTATTCTTGGCATTTTGCAGTGCTGCATAATTATTGGCATCTTGCCAAGTCATGGAAGTTGGCACAATTGTCCAATTCAGATTTAAAATAACTTAAATTCGTTACTTATCAAAAAAAAAAAAGAAATAAATCGGTGGATATGAAAAGAAAAGGAAATTAAGAATTGTCTGATATGCTATATTTAATTGGGAGTCAACACCAGTACCTAACTTCTCAAGAAGAGTCTGATATGCTATATTGAATTTTTGACCTCATAGAGTTTCATCGATTCTGATTAAATATTGCTTCTCTTTTTTATATAAGGTTTTGGTGCCATGACCACTAAATATAGTTGTATGGTAATAAAAGTTTTGGCTACTTTAGTAGAGTTGTTCTGTGTGCTGGTTATTTGGTACTGATTGTGTACATTCATAAGAGATTTTTACTTCTATGTAAAATATGTTTGTATTTACAATTACTGGCAGGTTGTGGTAACCATTTGGTATCGTGCCCCGGAATTGCTCCTCGGGGCGAAGCATTATACTAGTGCTGTCGGTATCCTTGGCACTAAATAATGCGTTGTTTTCAAAATATCGTGGGGTTGTTTTATGATTCAGTGTGTGTTCCTATGACATAAAAGAAATGTGAAACTAATGGTTAAATTAAAATTATTGTATTTCCTTAAAGTTGCAATCAGATATGTGGGCTGTTGGATGCATATTTGCCGAGCTTCTAACTTTGAAGCCTCTATTTCAAGGGCAAGAAGTTAAAGCCACACCAAACCCTTTTCAGGTAGATAGGAATTTCTGATATGGCATTCTTTAGTGATATTGCTTCCCTGTCTAAGTTTTCGTCCCAAGTTTTCACTAGTAATTCTTATATGCATATGCGACAGCTATTCTGTTTTCTAATATGAATTGCCACTTTTGCAGCTTGATCAACTAGACAAAATATTTAAGGTTTTAGGTAAGGAAGTCAAAATGGTGATTATAATCGTTCTTTATTTGCTTTGAACTATATTACCATCAGCGATCTCATTAGGTCATCCTACCCAAGAGAAGTGGCCAACACTTGTGAATCTTCCACACTGGCAATCAGATCTTCAACACATTCAAGGACGTAAATAGTTAGTCCATTCCTATTTCTCTCATCTATACGTTTGATTATATATTACAGGGATTTTGTTGTTTTTACCAGGCTTTATTTGCTTTTATTTTCCAATTGATTGATTTTTTTTCCTTTTATTTGCTTTATGCTCCTGGCAGTGACAATCCTGGACTTTATAGTGTTGTTCATTTATCTTCTAAAAGTCCTGCATATGATCTTCTCTCAAAGATGCTGGAGTACGTGTCATCTTTTAAGTTTATGATAATTTTATGTTTACTACGTGATTATTAATTTTTGATTATAAATTTTGACTACTACACATTTTTAGCATGATTATAACTGCAGTTGAAATTGAAATGTTTGCGATATTATAAATTTGTTTCATCATATGGGAGTTTTACACATCAATGTGAATTGCTTAGGAGAAAGAAATACAGCATATCTTCTTCGCTTTACACATATGATTTACAGAGTTAGTTTAGAATATTATTATTATTATTTGCCAGGAGAATGACTAGTGGGAACAAAAGTGTAATGTGTAAGTATTTAGTATTTCTATTTAGGTTCTTCTCACCAATATTGTATATGTACACATATGGAGAGAGAGGGGGAGAGTACCTATTGTAAAACTCGCAACTCTTTCAAATTAGAACCTTATGTTATATTCTTCCTGGAAATGTGAGTTTGTGGCTAAGATTGTGATCTATTTTATCCTTTGTTACTTGGAGTTGCTATTGGCTTAGATCATCGGTGCATTTTGTGGATTACCTTAGTGAAATTCTATTTTAAACCTCCCTAACAATAAATGAATGCACCCAAATAAATAATTTTTTGTTCACCAACTTTTTACCTCATTTACCTTTTTAGTATATGTACCTGTATTCAACTGTTGAACATTTCATGCACATGTTGTCCTAACATTTGAGGATTAAAAAAATATTGAACACATTTTCACACTTCACATACGTATTTGAGCCTATGTAATATAGGTTCCATCAAGTAAATATTTGGTGCACATGATATTATACAAGGATGTATCATCATTAGTGGGCTCGTTGGTGTATAGTTACTATAAGGTGTGAAAGTGGCAACACCTCTGTCCATTTGTTTCTAAGGGATGTAGGACTCTGATAGAGAGTAGTGCAAGGCCCATGATCTAGATCTTAAGGAGTGGTGAATAGGTCTTGCCAAGTTAATTGACCAATTTTAACAATAGGTCTTGTTATGCTAATTGACTAATTTTAAATAACTTTTTATTTTTATCTTTTTGATAAGTAAAGATTGTATAAAAAGCGTTCAAAGTGGTAACGCATCCCTCGAAAGCTACACAACGCTAAATACTAAACCCTCAAAGAGTCCAAAAGATCAACAAGCTCTTCCATAGATTTACAATTTCTCCCTAGAACCCAACAAAAAAAGGAACTTATAATGGAGAAATTTAAAATTCCTATAGGGATTCTCCTTTCCTTCGACGGATTTTCTATTTCTTTCAAGCTATAAACACCACTAGATGCACAAAAGGCGTAACCCTCCAGAAATTACGAACTTGGGATGGTAGGTTTGACCCCTGATGATTTAAAATTGAAACACGTGTTGGACCAAAAGAAGGCCACACATGAGGGGGCGTGTTGAAGGATTTAAATATTAAAGTTACATCATCTCTGACAGCTTAAGCCTTTTGGAGTAGATGGTTGTTAACAGACTCGTTTGGCAAAACTTTTGCTTTTGCTTTTGCATAAAAGAAAAAAGAGAAGAATAATGGCGTCGGATGTTCGGGATTTTCGTCCTATCAGTTTGGTGGGGAGCATCTACAAGTTAATAGCCAAGGTCCTTGCTTCTAGATTGAGGAGAGTTTTGGATGGGGTTATCTCCGACTCTCAGAATCCTTTTGTTGGAGGCTGTCAGATTTTGGATTCAGCCCTTATTGCTAGTGAATGTGTGGATTCCAAATTGTGTAGTGGGGTTCCTGGTGTTCTTTGTAAATTGGACTTTGAGAAGGCATACGACCATGTGAGTTGGAGCTTCCTTCTCTATCTGTTGGAGAGGATGGGGTTTGATGTGAGATGGATTCAATTTTGTATTTCCAATGCTCGCTTCTCAGTGCTTGTGAATGGAGCTCCGATGGGTTTCTTCTTTAGTTCGAGGGGTTTGAGACAGGTGGATCCGCTTTCGCCTTTTTTGTTCCTTATCGTGATGGAGGCCCTTAGTAGATTATTGAGAGGGCTGTTGACTTGGGTTTTCTGAGAGGCTTTAGGGTGGGCAGGGATGCTACTAATCTGTTAGAGATCTCCCACTTGATGTTTACGGATGACTCTTTAGTGTTTTGTGATGCGGATGTGTCCCAGATGAGATATCTGAGATGTGTTTTGATTTGGTTCTAAGTTGTCTTCGGGCTCAAGGTGAATGTGGGGAAGAGCGTTTTGGTGCCGGTTCCCTGAGATTGTGTCGTTAGCAGATATCCTTGGATATTGTATTGGTTCCTTTCCTATCTCTTATTTAGGTTTACCCCTTGGATCATCCTCGAGGTGTGTGGGGAGTTGGGATTTGGTTGTGGAAAGATTCAAGAGGAGACTGGTGGGATAGAAGAAGCAATACCTCTCCAAGGGTGGCACTCTGATAAAGAGTAACCTGTTTTGGTGCCGGTTGGGGAGGTCCCTGAGATCGTGTCGTTAGCAGATATCCTTGGATATTGTATTGGTTCTTTTCCTATCTCTTATTTAGGTTTACCCCTTGGATCATCCTCGAGGTGTGTGGGGAGTTGGGATTCGGTTGTGGAAAGATTCGAGAGGAGACTGGTGGGATAGAAGAAGCAATACCTCTCTAAGGGTGGAAGGGGCACTTTGATAAAGAGTACCCTTTCAAGCCTTCCCACTTATTTCCTCTCTTTGTTCCAGATTCCCTTTTCTGTGGCTGAGAGGATTGAGAGATTGCAATGGAATTTTTTTTTTTTTTTTTGTTAAGGGGGGGGGGGGGGGGGGGGGGGGGGGGGGGGGGAGTTTCATCTGGTACACTGGGAGCAGGTGCGTAGGCTGATTCGGATCGGAGGCTTGGCCTTTAGAAGATTGGTGCCTTTTAATAAGGCTCTCCTTGGGAAGTGGGTTTGGAGGTTTTGGATGGAGAGGCATAGGCTTTGGAGGAGGGTGGTAGTGAGTAGATTTGGGGAGAATAGAGGGTGGAGCTCTCTTAAGGTGCGTATTCCAAGGGGTATGGGGGTTTGGAAATTCATTCGGGAGGGGTGGGATAGTTTTTCCAAACACATTAGATTTCAACTTAGGGATGGTAGGAGGATTTGGGGAGAATAGAGGAGGGTGGAGCTCTATTGAGGTGCGTATTCCAGGGGGTATGGGGGTTTGGAAATTCATTCGGAAGGGGTGGGTTAGTTTTTCCAAACACATTAGATTTCAACTTAGGGATAGTAGGAGGATCAATTTATGGGAGGATGTTTGGTGTGGGGATCGACCTCTTGCTCTTGCTTTCCCCCGGCTCTTCAGGATTGCCACAGATAGGTAGGCCATGGTGGTCAACTGTTTTTCGGCTTGATCGCCAGAGATCGTCTTGGGATGTTCACTTCAGGAGGCATTTTCAGGATTGGGAGATTGAGGACGCCATTGGTTTTTTGGAATTGCTGTATCGCCAGGAGATCATGGGTGGACATTCTGATGGTTGGGTGTGGGCCCCTGCTTCTCAGGGTCGTTTTGATGTTCGATCTTTCTAAAGGTGTCTTACGGAGGTGCCAGGGGCTTTTTTCCCGTGGAAGGCTGTTTGGCGCTCCAAGCCCCCCTTCGAGGTGGCTTTCTTTGCTTGGACGTCTGTTTTAGAGAAGATTTTGACACGGGATAACTTGAGGAAAAGGAATCAGGTGGTGGTCAACTGTTGTTGCATGTGCCTTCGTGCTAAAGAGACGGCGGATCACCTCCTTTTGCACTACACCATGGCTAGGGACTATTGGGATTTGATGCTTGGTTTGTTTGGGGTTCAGTGGGTCATGCCCAGATCCTCCAGAGGGTTAATTGAGGCTTGGAGAGGTTGTATAGTGGGGGTCGAAGTCCGGGATGCTTGGAGGGTTACGCCTTTTGTGTGTCTGGTGGTGTATTTGGCTCGAGAGGAACATGAGATCTTTCAAAGGAAAGGATAATCCTTTTTCTATGCTTAAGTTCTCTATTTTCTCCACTCTTTTTTGTTGGGTTGTAGGGAGAAATTATACATCTTTAGAGGATTGTTGATTTTTTGGACTCTTTTTGAAAGTTTAAAGGCCCTCTTTGGTCTTGTGTAGTTCTTTTGGGCTTCACTCCCCTTTTGAGCGCTTCTATACAATTGTCTTACTTATCAAAAAAAAAAAAAAAAAAAAAGAAAAAAGAAAAAAAACTCAGTACAACAAAAACAGAATACTTATCTATCATCTATAACTTCCATCTCACTATCACCCACAGGTCACAGCGAACTGAATATCTAACTTGCCGATGTTTCCAAATAATCATTTTTTTTGATAAGTAAAATGTATTAGAAAGCGTTCAAAAGGGGAACGCGTCCCGAGATATACACAAAAAGAATCTATGAACTCAAAGAACCCAAAAAGTCCACAATGTCCTCTAAAGAAGAATAATCTCTCCCCCAACCCCAACAAAAAAGGGTACAAATAATAGAAAATTTCAGCTCTCCACTAGAGGACTCCTTCCCATCGAAAGATCTTCTGTTCCGCTCTTTCCAAAGACTCCACCAAACGCAAAGAGGGGTCACCCTCCAGAAGTCTCTAGCCTGAGCCCCCATCCATTGGTCCCTCCAGATATCTAGCAATCCTCGAGAAGTCTGAGGCATGACCCAGTGAATGCCAAACAAACCAAGCAAAAGACTCCAACATTCATAAGCAACAGGACAATGCAACAGAAGGTGATATACGGACTCCCCAAAACACTTGCAAAGAGAACACCGATTAACAATGATATGTCTTCTTTTCTGTAAATTGTCCAAAGTCAGAATCTTACTCCAAGCTACAGCCCACACAAAAAAGGCCACCCTAAGGGGTGCCTTAGAGAGCCACACCGTCTTCCACGGGAAGGGCAACCCATGAAACTCAGAGAGGCGCATAAACAATGACCGGACTTAGAATGTCCCATTAGAAGAAGGCACCCAAAACAAGGAATCCACACCAGTGCCATCCAAATCCTGTCCATACAAAAGGGCCAACAAGCCAGTGACATCATCCAACTCCCAATCCTGAAAAGGTCGCCTGAATCGC